TAATTATTATAAAATACAAAATATTATAGTTTTAAAGTTTATTTTAATGCTTTGTTTTGTGTAGAGAAAGAAAGCTGTCATTAGAGTCGTGGTCTTTAATGCCATCGTTTACTGCAACAGAATTGTATAAATTGGGTAACATTTTCTTAAATGAGACTTTTCTGCGATAATGTTATTTAAATGTAATTGAATTAGTATTTGAAAGTTTGGCAATACTTCTCCAACGCTTATATCATTTGTTATTTAAAAGTTTTTACAGAAAAACAGATAATTTTGACGAAAACAAGTGTATGTTTTAGTGTGTGTTGTGTTGGGATTGGGATGGCTTTGAATTCAGTGAACTCGTTGTGTCGTTCAATAAAATCTAAGAGTAATTGCTTTGAAGGACTGAAACCGAAGTGTTATAGAGCTCTGAAGCTATTTTCGTTTATTTGACGACATATATCAAGGAAGTAATGTCTGAAACTCTCAATCGACAAACACTACTACAATAGAGTCCAGCGTTTTCGCAATCAAACTGAAATCAAACACATCTCTTATCAATGGATCGACTCTCGGACTAAAACTAATAAATTTTTTGCTCATTGACTAAAACTCAATGAAATAACAAATACTGTATTGTATTTAATATAAGAGTCCATTCAGACGTAAAATATGAATATTTCGGTGCATTAATCATTGAGTTGTTGTTATAATGAATTGAATGCAATAAAATGTTTTGTCTTAACTTTTATATTCACGTCATTTGAGTAAAAGATATACACATTTCTTCTCTCCATTCGCTGTCAGATTTGCAACAAATAAATCGACAATAAGTTCCGAAACACTTTCATAAAGACTTTATTTTCTTTTCCTTCAGATTAAGCTTTTTCTTCTGTATAAAGAAAATATATTTTCAAAATTTAATGTCTTTCTGTCATTATTTTCGAGCAAATCGTACGAATGAATGACTTCTAAACAATACACCGCAAAGTCTACATTAAATCCCATTTCAAAAGATTGTTAACTTTTTTATGTGTATTATTTAAAGTCGCGATAATTGGAATCGTTTTTATTCTGTCGTCAAAGAACTGATCGCACGTTTCAATTGTGAAAACTTTTCATTTTGAGCTCAAAATTTGACTAAATCTCAAAGAGATAGCGAAAGAGTAGAGGAGAGCAGAGGAAAACAGAGGACAACAGATGTGAATGTTTTAGAATAAAAGCCATTGACTTGTTATGAATGAACACAAGAATCCGTATTGAGCTCTATATCAGCGAAATAGGAATACATTAGCCTTTATGTAGACAATGACCTAAGAATGGACTACAAAAGATGTGCACAAATATTATCGACTTATTCCTCGACAACTCTATACCAAAAGCACTGATGAAATAATGTTATGTAAGCTCACCATTAGCTCTATTAATGTCTGGCAAAGCACTTCCCAATCCTATAATGGCTTCAATAGAATGGATGATATAATTTATGACTAGAAATACAATATCTTTTTTAAATTATACACAAAAAGTCATTTTATTTATTTTAAAAATTCACCCAAAAAAGTGATTCAAAAATGCATTGATTTTTATATTTCATATAAAATTTATATCATTTTAAATGTCCTTAAAAAATAAAGTTTTTTTAAATTCAAATATATCTCTCAATAGATTTGGACTAAAGTTTTTTTATGACGAATATATACTGTATTATAGTATTATAGCGCGGAATAGATATCAATTTAAGCATATTTTTCAAACATTGATTCCCAAAAGTTGCAGAACTGATGGCCAAAAAAAGTAAGAAGAATTGGTTATCAAATTGTGTACAAAATAATGTTTCACTTTTGTGAACATGCATTCAATCTATTTTTGTGTCGACCATTCAATTGTCCCAATAATGATGTTTTGTTTGTCTTAAGTCTTTACGACTCATATATTTAACAAAATACTAATAGATTAAAGAAATAATGGTCTGTTCATCAAACGGAGACCCAATACTCATTAAACCTGCGTTTAATGAATGCCATACATTGTGTTCAATAGCTTTCCTATCATTCATGGCATTGTAATATTGTTGTTTCACATCCCATTATACTATACACTAATTTACTATGATGAAATATTAATTTAATTAAATACTTTAAAACAACAAGAATAGTTTCTATAAGCATTTATTCTTGTCATGATACTGTGTGAGTTTTTAATTTTATGAATTAACAAATAATTAATAATAAAATAAAACGTGTAAATATATAATCATCATTAATAATACAGAATCTACTTTAGAGTTCAGTCAAAACTTCTGTGATTTCATCAACTTTTATGGCATTTAAAGTTGTTTTTAGTAGTTTTAAAAATGTGTATATCAGATAATGTAATGTTTTATGAGTCCCAATGGTTAGGATTACATAACTTATAATGTTTTTAAAATTTACTTCTTTGAATAATAAATTATTTAATAAATTTATAACTTAATGTTTTTATAATTTAATTTGTATACAATTTCTAAATATTCACAAATATTCAGACTTTTAATGCAATTCAAATAAAAATGTTCTCTATATGTGAAAGTAATCTATTATAACATCAAAACTGTAGTGAATTTATTTTGTCTGATGTGTAACTAATAATAATTCAGTATTCAATCCGTCTTTTTGAATATAATTATAAACAAATGAATGTATATTTGAAGCAATATTAATGTTGAGATCACTTCAGTATTTCTCATATAATTCTCATTCAACTGACAAATTGAAAGTAATCTCTATTGTAATAAATGCCAACGAAATACAATTCTTGCAGATTATTGTAAATCTTATATTACTGTATAAAGAAAATAAGTTTCGTATAAATATGTTTAGCAAAATATATGCATCCATTTTATAAATTAAATTTATATCTAAGAAACAAAATAAAATACTTGAATACATTTTTATTTTATCTGCATTTAAATTTAAATGTCTTAAACAAAATATTTACTTATAATTTATTAAATATAGGAGTCTTACAAACCATTTGTGACTGTAATTGTGATTAAGAAAGTAAAACACAAAATATTACATGCACATTACACCATATTACAACATAATTATCATTGTCATTATTTTGTACCTTCATAACAAAAATATACAATAATAATATACTGTATATAAATGATTTAACTAAAACAATATGTATAATATTAATTGTTTCAAATGTGATCCTGAATCTGATAAATGTGATCAATCTCTCTATGATTGTGCAGAGATTTCATGAGACAATCATCTGATCCAAGAACTAATTGCACACAAACTATAGACCAGTTGTGAAACTCGTCAAAAGTCATCTTTTGTTACAAACATTTAAACATGTTTTGAGTGAAAAAATATTTTGTTGACGAAGACTAATATTGAATGAGAATATATGTGTAAAACACGGCTCATATGTTAGAAGGCATACAACTGTGAGCTTTATATTATACAAAATGTCTTTTAATATTCTGCAAAAAACAATGCAAGAGTTGTGAGAAATATTTTTACATATCATGTTTGCCTACGATATGACCAACATTTCTATATATCTATATTCTGTATTTATGTAATATACTTTACAATGACTTATTTTTGTTAAAAAAATAAGATAATATTTCTGACACATTTTGCTTATCATTTTTTGTTTTGCCTTCACTTTAATAAGTGATGTCATTATTATATTTGCACAATATTTTCATACAATTCCTTTAATTATGATGTGTTTTATTTTATAAATAATACATTATTGTAATGCAGTTTATCACATAATGCATTATTTTCGTATAATAGTAAATATTCAACGAATCTATGGGACTGTTTTTCAAATAATATTTCGATTAAGAGTTATGTAAATCATTTAGCTCTTGGTCTTTTTTTATTTTAGGTTTTAGTCATTTAGTCTTATAAAAACAAACTGAATAATATATACTTATATATAATTTATATGAAATGAAATCAAATGCAAAATCTTTTAAAATATGCAAAATATGTCATATTAATACATTGTATATTCTATGAAAAAGTATTATTCAGTGAATTTGTGGTAAAACTTAAAACTCATCGAAAATAATACAATGAATGAGAAGATGTGTTTCGAAGAAATAGGGAACGAATGGTTGAATAAACTTATGTCTCAAGTGATAAAAAATCTTTACATTGTTTTCTAATGTTGTTTAATGTAATAAACATTTAAAGGTTTAGACAAATGTTTAGACAATTTATTTATGTGTGAACTCAGAACTCGAGGGAAATCAAAATAAGTATATATTTGAGAGTCCATTGAAAAACGGAAACCTTAAGTGAAATCGAAAGGACGCCAAAGAACTCATTGGAGACGACAAACACTGGTTTTATTCAATACAACAGACGTTGAAAATATGTTCAACACTACAATCCAGTGCTCCAAAGCCGTCAACACTTCTCTTTATGTATTCTTTACTTGTTTTTAGTAAAAAAATTTGAGATAAATTTGAAATTTAAATTCTTTATTGCCTTAGATTTCAATTCCTATGCCTTTCTTACGATTTTTTTTATAAAATCTTGAATTTGATGTCGAATTGTAAACAAAATCAATGAAAGCATACATTCTTTTCACATCACATTATAATTGAATTTTTAAATTGTCTTTTCGTCCAATCAGTCATTCATTACTTTATTCTCAAATATTTAAATTTCTTTTTTAAAATTCTCAAATTATTTCAATTTCAATTAATTTTAATTAAAAAAGTTTTATTAAAAGTTTTATCAATTCATTTAATGAAATATTCAAAAAACACTAATGTTTACAGATTTGGTGAGGATTTAGATATTTGCACAAATGTTTAGAAAAACCTAAAATTTAGAAAACATAAAAAATATTTATCAAATTTAGTATAAATTTTCATTTTGAGTCAAATAAATGTCACATAAAGTCCTATAATAAAAATAATACAAAATAAGTTTCCATCGGTTTATATCTAATGAAAAAATTCTTCAAATAAAACAGACTTTAGTTTACAAACAAAATGTATTGATTGGTATACAGTATTGTATAAAAAACGCTTTTATAAATGAATTCAATTAAATAATGGATCGATTTTTATAACAAATTTATTATTAAGATATTAATAATATTATTATTCTGTATATAAATATTAATTTTAAATAAAAATTAAATCTAATAATTAAAACGTTTTCCTGTGGACAGCCCTCTGGCCCTCTTCATCGAACTCTTTGCGCGAAACCCACATCCGTTTAAATGTGTCTAAACTGGCGAGGATTGAGCCCCCAATCCATGTCGAGTACAGGCGCTCCTGAGGCGCACTGATCCTAATCTTAAGGTCTTTGGGCGCCATTTTGCGCACTTCGTTCAGCAATCGGTCACCGAATCCCTTGAATAGAGTACTTCCACCGCTTAACACAATGTTTTGGTAAAACACTTTTCGAAGATCTAAATCCGATTTCTGTATACTATAAACCAGTACTTCGTGAACGCCTTCAAACTCGTAACCAATCAGATCCGGTCGGAACAGGATCTCAGGGGCTCTCATACGCGGACCGGCGTTTATGTCAACATTACTTCCGTCCGGCAATATGTATGAGGTTTTCTCGATATCAGAACCGCTTCCGGCCGAGTGCTCGTCGAGTGCCCGCTGAGGATTGGATGTCAAGTAACAGATTTTCTCCTTTATATTCTTTACGACTTCAAACTCAGCGGTTGTGTTGAATATAAGGCCCTCTTTTCGCAACAAGAGCTTCAGATATCGGGTCACATCTCGTCCGGCGATATCCGAGCGCACTATTGACAGCGGAAGTGCAAAGCCCTCGTAAATGGGAACGGCATGAGTGACGCCATCGCCCGAGTCTAGCACTACACCAGTCGTACGGCCCGTCGCGTATAGACTGAGCACCGCTTGCATTGAAATGAAGAGCGCGGGAACGTTAAACGTCTCGAAGAATATTTCGGCCGATTTCTCACGATTTCTGCGCGGATTTATCGGCGCTTCTGTTGACACAAAAACACAATTCACCCGTTATTTCACAGTAACTATTGGTCTCATTAACGAATCATTCAATACAATTACCAGTGAGAAGGACGGGATGTTCTTCAGGGAATGTCTGCAACTGTTCCTTAGAGTAGATGTATTGCCATATCTTTTCCATTTCGTTCCAATCGGTGACAATTCCCTTCTCCATGGGATACCTCAGCGTCAATAGACCTCTGTGTTCGTCCGCACGACGACCTGATCCACAATAACAACACAAACCGGTTATTTACAGACACAACACGTGCCCAACGCTTGTGACAAACCAATGAAAGTGTCGCCTTCGAGAGCGCCGGCCATTACTCTCACATGTTTTGGTCGTCCGACGAGATTAGAGAAAATACATTTCGGGATCTGATCGCCAGCGAAACCCGCTTTCACCACACCTTCAATACACACAATCACACAGACATCGAGTTAGCCATCACTCAGAACTGGTCAACCAAATCACTCCATACCTGATCCGTTGTCGATCACCACCGGCTGATTCACCATAACATCCAAATCCATGTCTTTTGATTAAGTGCTGACAACGACTACACTATTAATGAGACAAACATTACGTTAAATGCAATTAAAACATGTGTTGAGTACTTGAGTTCACACATCGATTACTTACCGATTATTGTAAAACTTTATTATAAATCAAACGCTAATCCAATGCGAGACTAATTCAATGACATCTGTTATTAATAGACTATAATTTAACGCAAAATAATTCAATCAAAACTTAAATCTCAATCAAATGTCACTCAAAATGTGTTTACAATTCAAATGTTTTTATAAGTGTTTAGAAAATCAATTCAATTGTATTTCATATGAAATAAACAATAAATAGTTTCCAAATAAATAACGTTTCGATAAAAACATACATTTTTAATGACAACTCAAACGCCTTTTTTTAGCACATGTTTCACAAACGATGTGTCAATTATTGCATACATTTCGACCCCTTTTGTCACTCATTGTGAACACCACTCACGACAAGCCCTTCGTTAGTCAACTCTCCCTTCCCTTCAATACTGATTATTGTATATATGAATCACTTATAACTTTAATTCATTTAATTAATTACAATTAAATTAAAAGCTTTTACGCAATGATTACCAAAATATAAGACAAATACAAAGCAATACTAAAAACAATAGCAATGTTTTGATGTATAACTTAATGATAGGATATAATAGTGAGTGAATGAGTGAACCGTTGAACACAACGTTAACGTATGGGTTGAACGAGTGGTCAGACATAGAATGGACGTAACGATGCGCTCAAATGTATGGAGTGTTGCGTTGAGAGTGTGTGTGAGTGTAGGGGAGAGTCGTGTGGCGTCACTAATGCTATGCAATGTATGAGTGATTGTGCCGTAAGTGTGTGTCTGAGAGTGGGTTTGAGTGCTTGTATTGAATGTAATATTTATTTACATTTTTTGCATTCAATTGGCTGTGAATTGAGTGCCAAATGAGGTCTGCATTGAATTTAGTGTCAAATAATTACTTAAAAACTCATTATTTAAACGATATTTGAGTCGAAATTGACGTCAATTTTACTTAAATTACACACAAATGACAAGAAATGTCTCATTTAATGGTCATTTGAGACCTACTTTTGCTCAATGAATGGCAGATAATGTCTTAAATTTGATCCATTGGTTGATTGTTTGAGTGAATCAATTGGTGCGACAAAATGGATGAGTTTTGGTTACCATTGATGACGATATCTCTGACCGTATCGATGGTTGTGTCGATAGTTGTCTGCATTTGTCGAAACAAACCGAAGACCACTTCCAGTCTTAACAACGGACACAACTTATTGCCATTGAATTCAATCAGATCTTCCGATTTGACCACTAATTTGGAACTCATTCGCTATAATGGTGTCAATTGTGTGGCCGCTGAAGACACTGATGGCCACCACAGACACACTCAGAGAGCGCTTCCAGACATCCCATTGATGGCCAACTCTTTACAACACGTGCCGACCAATGAGTTTGACCTGAATCGCGACGCTATGGAACCGATGATTGATCCCAAACACAGCGCCGAACCTAAGAGTAGGCCATTGAAGGCGAGAGCACCGCAACCGCCCGGCCATCGGGTGCTCACGTGTCCGACAGTCCCCACAGACGACGACTTACATCACTCTTACGCCCGAATCAAAGACAACGCTGTCATCGACTCGTCTGAGAACGAAACGGACGACTATTGCGATCCACAGCTGTGTTCCGTCAGACCCGTGGACCACATGACACCTCCCGTTCCCACCAAACGCTTTGTTAACGATTTGAACAATGATTTGCCATTCATTGCGTCGAATCCGTCGACATCGAGAGCGGGCCAAGAGTTGGCGTATATGTCGGCGCCGATCGGTCACCACATACTCCATCCCAACGACGACTCGTTCTCTCAATCATCTAATGATGAAAACCGATTGAATGGAAACAAGAGTGAGATTTCGTACAATACTATATCAGTTCGGGAACCGCTGGCAAAAGTGTTGGCCGAAAGACTGGCCAACTCTGAGCACCACTACAACGAAGTGGAAGAGGAAAGGGTCTCCTCTTTCTATGAAGAGATCGCCGGTTCGACCGCTTCTTCAGTCACTTACTCTAAAATAGGAGACATTTTGACTAATAATCATAATAACGATCATAACATTAATGGTAATCATGTTTTGCGTAATTCTATTCGTGGGACACAAGACATCACTAATGGATCAGCGGTTAACTCATATCCTTACGACACAACGGACTCATCTTCTACTCAAACCCAGCAGTCATTGGCAAACATTACTCCAAATTGTGATTCATTTTTACCCAACAATTATCCGAAAGACTTATACTCATCAGTCGATAAGAAATCCAAATCCAAGTCATATAACAGACAAACCATTCATTGTATTCCCGATTCGGACAATGAATTCGATAATCTGTACGCAAAAGTCCAAAAACAAGTGAATTCATCGAAAACTAACGCATATTATATGAATCAAAGGCCGTCGAGTGTCTGCGATGTCGACATTTCCCTCATATCAGACAACAGCACTCCTCCACCACTTCCGCCGCCATTAAAGTCCTTTCAGACCAATCAGTCCCGAAGCGCGCGAACCATCTCTTTGTACGACTCATCAAATTCTGCCACAAATTCCACTACGGGTTCACATCAGAGGAGGTATTCTTCTGGCAATCAATCGATAAACACAAGCGATTGGCACAACAGAGATGTTGACAGCGATTACTTTAACTACGGAATCGTTGGCAACAATGATATGGACTTAGAGAACGATCCGGGATATGAAGTGATCCAACGCAAGAGGTCTCATACACCGCACGCGAGCGCCACTACAAGTACTGCCAGTCATCACAACGGTATTCAATCGACATCAGCGGCAGATCCCGGATATGAAGCCATTCGTTACGATGAGTCCGACTTTGACCCGAACTACGAAGTGATTACCAAAAAAGTCAATACAAATACACAAATCAATGAAATAGTAGATCCCGGGTATGAAGTGATCAAAAGAGTGCCACAAATTCCCATCAAAACTCATTTGGCGAATCATTTTGAGCTCAATATTAGTAGGAATTTGAGTGATGTCTCATCAGAGCCGGGATACGAGAGAATACGGTTCACACCAAAGGTTTCCACACAAATAGAGTCGGAACCCAATTATGCGTTCATTACTAGAGCTGAAGAAGGATTGTATGGAGAGGTCGGCGGCGATGACGACGAGGACGACAACCAGATTATTACCGAACGCTTATGACTCACAAACGCGTAACAAATCGTGTAAATTATGATTATTTGTTCAAAACCTAGATTTTTATTTTAAATATAGCTTTTAAAGCGCTTTAATTAATATCTGTTGTAATGTCTATTAATTTAAATAATATAAATCAAATTATTTGTAAAGTTATTTATTCACTTAAATGCTTATATTATTATAACTTATATTACTTAGAAATATACTTTAAAACCTCATCTCAAATGTTAATTTTAAAAACACTTTTATAACTCATTAATTCTGATAACAATTCTTAACAAAAATCAATTAATTAAATCCAATCAAAATCCATTATTAAGTTTACTTTACAAACAAAATAACTTGTAGCGATTAATTGTTTTAAATGCAATTAATATTACAAAATGGTTATAATGTCTTAAATTCTATAAAACGCTCAATATTTCTATCGATTGTGAATTTTTGTTTTCAAATTTAATTTTTAAAATCATTGAAAATGTAATAATTTTTCACTTTATTTCTATAAAAATATTAGAAATAAATACAAATATTTTGAATGCATGTGTAATGTATACAATGAAAAATGTATTTTTTGAATGTAATTAAAAACTTTTAAAAAGGTTAAAAATTGTGTTTAAAATAAATACTAAAATCACGTTTTCTTCGTTTTACCCAAAAGTTTCATCAAATTTTTGGACATATAATAGGGTTTCTCTTGTGAGCCATCATTTCGTTCGCAATCTTCAACTAAAAACAATTATTCAAAGGTTAGTCTAATATAGGATTTGTTAACAAACGTATGCAAAAATGTATTACGGAAACAGAGGAATAGTGTGTCGACTGCCATATGATATACACTGAAAAAACTGCTGGCAATGAGATAAGTGCCAAACGTTATGACCTGAAAATATCGATAATCAATGTTTGAGTTTCGATAATAAATACCATATTTAGCATCAATTTTATTATAAATCAAATAATGATTACTTACAACAATAGGAACCCAATAATAGTGTAGATTAGGAATTTCAATGAAATCAAACTTTTGAGTGAACACATAGAAAGATAGGACGGCAACCATCGATGTGACCGTCAGTTTGCCTATTATTAGCAATAGATCTGTCACTTTGTCCAACACTACAGCTCTAAAAGTTTGGCAAATTATAAAGAATCTAGTTAAAATTAGTTTCATAATCTATGTTGCTATAAACCTGGTGGCGTTTCTAAATATAAGGTAAAATCCATTGGAGGCTGACGTGCAAAAGCCTTTACCATAGATCGCGATCATTATGTATGCGTTTTTATTAATAAATTTCATAAACGACTCCAATAACCAGAAGAAACACCGACAACAGCTTATTGTTCACAAAATTAGCAATTATTATGAATTAATTATATCATTTGGATTACAGTAAATGTTAATTTGTTTATTTACCACATAACCGCTTTTGCAAAGAAATTATTGGCATATTTTTTGCATTTTTTATCAATATATTCAATGACTATTCTAATGAAGCGAACCGTTGCTATAAGTAGTGATCCGAACGCAACAGAACCGGAATGATATCTGTTATGAATAATATTTGTTAATTATATTAATGCATATAACAGTGATTGAAGATAACATATACCGTAAACAGCGATAAAAGCCACCAAAAACGGCAAAATATGGCACTCCTTCGGGTTTTTTGAATACCCAGTAATACGAGGCAAAAGCACCCGCAAGACTCACTTGACCTTACATTTTATAACAATACGAGTTTTTAAATTAATTTCACATATTATTAATTTAAATTACAAATATTAATTACCAAATTTGATTAAAATTTATTATATTTATCAAATCTTGTAATTTAGATTTATTTTAAATTGTCGATGGTAATAATAAATAAAACAACACATACCGACTCCTACTATAAAGAATAGGCCCCACAGAAGACCAAATAGATTGTATACTTGAGCCGCAAATATAACGTTATCCTCGTAATATTTTGCAAAAATACATTTCTGTGTATTATTAGTTGAGCTACTCGTTTGATCCGACTATATCAATGAAAATGTTAATATAAAAACGTTGTGTATAAAGTAATAAAGGGTTTAATTATAAACAATAACTTCCATACATTATGAGGAGTACACTCTTGACCAGTGTGTGGATCATGATATTTAGGTCGTGCCGATGCTGTTATCAAAATAGCCACTGAACCCCAAAAACAAATTACCATTAATTGCATTATATAGGGAACAATCGGAAAGAATAGCGACGATTTCACACAAGAGACGGCCCTTAAATATTTTTAAAAATTTTATTAAATTACATTACAAATATGGACCAAAGAGATCAAACTTACCGACTCGCTTCTTCGATCAAAGCAATGGCTAATTTAATCCGCTTTCGCAGATATAGTAACACTAATATTAAGACAAATAGGACTATAGCGCAGATTATGGTGAATGCAAACCAAGTCTTTTGATTTGTTAGGTATGAATCCAAATCTGTGTCCATTGATTTCCGGAAATCATATTTTTGTGCAACAATTGCTGAAGTGTTTATACTATCGGTCGTATTGACTGACAATATATTATAGCGATTGAGAGAATAATAGAGTCCATAGGAGTTAAGGATCACAACCGCTAATATAGAGAACCAGATCATGGATTGAGCGAACCATTGCATACACAGAATCCATACAAACGATATGACCATTGCCAGCGCCAAACCCCTGTCCCAATCAATAGACACTTGTTAGCTACATAGTTGAATTTCAATTTGAAAACAATATACAAGATAATCCATTTAAAAGTTTGGTCCAAATCATGAATTATTTTTGTGCCGATTTCTCTCGCGTTTAGTAGTAAAACAATAGCTCTAATAAAGAAATGTTATTAACTCTTTAGTATTAATAATAATCAAACAATTTTTAGTTAAATATATACTGATTTGTTTGTTTAATTATATCCAAATTGATGACATCATTTTTATTATCCATTAACATCTTTCCCGTATTCTTCTCGTCGATCACATCCTTACCGTACATTGAGAGCAGCGATGGTATACATCGGCCGCCAAACGGTTCGCTCTTGAAGTAAATTCCGGCGCATTTGTCTTCTTGTATGAGTCGATGAAAGTTATCATTTCTCGGAATCTCTGAGTTATATTTGCAAATCATTGACTTCTGGTAATCGGCGCTCAAATCTCTCACTTGAAATAATGAAAATGTTTGGTTCGGACAGTGAGAGACACACACCTATTCACATGTTATGCGTTAAAATTATATGATTGTTTCATCTGCTGATTGTTAACATATCCAAACCTGGGGTGTATCGCATCGGTCGAAAATATTTTTGTCGAGCTTTTTGGTGCATTTCAACAAATTGAAGAAAAATAAATAAGGCTTATCTCTAAACAAAAATATTAAATTTACTATTTGCAATACAATTCAATATAATATTAGTAATAACTTATGCTCTCCGCGCCCACATATGCCACCATATGTATCGGTTGGGAATATTAATTGTTCGGGATTTCCATTAATAAAGCCTAATATTAAAAGTTTACACAATTTTAAATTTGTTTTTAATTATAGATTTAAATTTGTATAAATTGTACCCAAAATAGCAATTACTATCCAACCGACGATAAAAGCGATGAAAGCAATTAAGAAGAGGATATCAGTGCAACTCCTGTTTTTGATGGGACCTTTGATCGACGGGTCGTATGTAAAAGATTCGCCTGTTTTTTAGTTTGTTTTTAAATGTTATTCATTCACTTATATTTTGAATTTCTATATTATACATTAATTGTTAAAAAGTGCTTATATTTATTCATTAGACATGTGCTTACAATAAAGACGGAAGGGGTGGGCTATTTGTGTCTGTGAATACATATTGCGAATAATCTATAGTTTTTGTTCTGTTACTTATAAGATTTATTATGCAATATATTCACACTAAACGAATAATAGTTTCCGTTTATATTATAATTAAGTTATAATTAATTCAAACAGAAATAAATTATTCATTGATATATGTAAAGAAAGACAATCAACTCGTTGAATATTCTTTAAATACTTAATATATAAGAAACAAAACAGTATTTAACGGTAGAATAAAAGCCGATTGAAGTTAGAAAATGTATTTTTGCAAATAAATTATTCCTTTTCTATATTATCATTAGTTTTCACTCACAATAGAAAACGATTAATGCATTGAATTTCAACGAAATGTACTTAAAATGTATCCTAAATATATATTTTGAATTATATTTTTGTTTTAAGTAATTTTGTCTAGAATTGTTTGTATAATGTATTAAATTAATAGTTTGTTGCTATGGTTGTAGCTCTCTCTCTCTCTCTCTCTCTCTCTCGTATCCCGGCTCTGATGAGACATCACTCAAATTCCTACTAATATT